ACTGAACTAGAACTGAACTAGAACTGGACTAGAACTGGACTAGAACTGAACTAGAACTGAACTAGAACTAAACTAGAACTGAACTAGAACTGAACTAGAACTGAACTAGAACTGGACTAGAACTAGAACTGAACTAGAACTGAACTAGAACTGGAACTGAACTAGAACTGAACTAGAACTGGACTAGAACTGGACTAGAACTGAACTGAATTTACTTGCTTAAAAGGAAATGGAGTTCGAGGAAGATAACCTAAAGAATCCAAACCTATTCGACACAAAGACAGCTAAATTTAACAACTGAACTAGAACTGAACTAGAACTAAACTAGAACTGAACCAGAACTGAACTAGAACTGAACTAGAACTGAACTAGGACTGAACTAGAACTGAACTAGAACTGAACTAGAACTGAACTAGAACTGAACTAGAACTGAACTAGAACTGAACTAGAACTGAACTAGAACTGAACTAGAACTGAACTAGAACTGAACTAGAACTGAACTAGAACTGAACTAGAACTGAACTAGAACTAAACTAGAACTGAACTAGAACTGAACTAGAACTGAACTAGAACTGGACTAGAACTGAACTAGAACTGAACAAGAACAGAACTAGAACAGAACTAGAACTGAACTAGAACTAGAACTGAACTAGAACTGAACTAGAACTGAACTAGAACTGAACTAGAACTGAACTAGAACTGAATTAGAACTGAACTAGAACTGAACTAGAACTGAACTAGAACTGAACTAGAACTGAACTAGAACTGAACTAGAACTGAACTAGAACTGAACTAGAACTGAACTAGAACTGAACTAGAACTAGAACTGAACTAGAACTGAACTAGAACTGAACTGGAACTGAACTAGAACTGAACTAGAACTGAACTAGAACTGAACTAGAAATGAATTAGAACTGAACTAGAACTAGAACTGAACTAGAGCTGAACTAGATCTGAACTAGAACTGAACTGGAACTGAACTGGAACTGAACTAGAACTGAACTAGAACTGAACTAGAACTAGAACTGAACTAGAACTGAACTAGAACTGAACTAGAGCTGAACTAGAGCTGAACTAGAACTGAACTAGAACTGAACTAGAACTGAACTAGAATGACAGCAGAACGGAACTGTCCTCAGAATGAGCAAGTCCGAAGTGACTAGAAGAGCGAATTAACAGCTTAATTACAATTGGAACCACAACCGCTGCAGACATACATTTCATACATTTTGTATGGAAAGCAAAATATCGTCTTGTGGTTGGCGATATTGTGGTTGAGATAGATTCTATTCTACTTTTATTGCGCTCTCTAGCGATCCTCTCATTGTTCTCTTATTTTTTTATGTTGTAGCGTTGCCATATGTTCATAATATTTTGCTAAAAATCATGCAAAATTGCAAAAACAGGGTTATATAATGCGCATTTTTCTCCATATTTTATTATTAATGGAAGATATTGAATGAAATAAATATAAATTAAAATAAGAAAACATATTATATTTGTTCCCGTATTTTGTTGTGAATAATTTTTTAATCATTCCTATTTATTTCTTCAAAAATAATTTTAATTTAAAAGAAAAACATCATTTTGCATTGATTTTTTGTGGTGTCTGTCGACAGTCGCTTAATTTTAATTCGTCGCTCGCTCTTTCTGTGTGGTTTGTCGACAGCGGTTCCAATTGTAATTAAGCTGTAAGACGAAAGTAAAACTTGTAAAGAACACTTTCTTCTCATTGCCAGGATCTCGCCGAAAACACATCCAAATATCTTGGGAACGATATTATTGCGAACATAACATCCCTCACGAACATTATTTAGGAAAAATTTTAGGAATTACGTTTAGGAAACTGAGTTTCTAAACATCAGACTATATACGGGCAGGACGTTCTTTGACAATTGGATCTCTACACTAGAACGAATAGATATCAAATCTATTGACAAATGATTTTTTCTTAGGAAAAACACTTTCAATAAACCTTGTCGGAACATTGAAGTACTGACAGAAGGCAGAAACTCATTGTTAAGGTGTTAGTTGGTATAAAAGCCATAGGAAATCCATTGCCCATAAAGATGGACTTTCGACTTTATTATGTTGAGACCTTTGAGAAATTTCGCCTGTAGCAAAATATATAGAAGATCTTCTATGTGATCGCTCAAACATTAATCAACTTACAGTTAATCTCAAAAATAAGTATACAGAAATACTGACAATTGGTTTTATTTAAAAAAGGATATTATTTTTTAAAAATCAAAAAAGTAACATATTTATTTATTAAAAACAATTATGATAATTATTATTCACTACATTTTTCCGGGTTATTTTGGTTACTTGAGTTCTCATTTAAGGTGTAGTTAAATAGGTACAAAATTTACGTCACAAAAGTAAGTATACAGATAATTTCAATATGTATTTGGCTTAATGATATTAACAAAATTCATGACAATTTTACCTGTTTGAATGTAATTATTTTATAATAATATATTCTTTACACTATAACATGGAAAAAATTCACTTTTTGTTCCGAAAAATTGAAATTTTTGGTAATTGATCTGAATATTATTTATAGGAGCATTTTTGCCTATTTAAAAACATTAAACCCCCGGAGTTTTGGATCGGGTATTCAATAATATCCCTCGTTTGTTCATTATGATGCATTGGAAGACGATATTTTAACTTTTAAATTAATTGTTTCTTTACAATAATTACAATCCATTGCGGAACATTGCCGTTTTTAACATAGTATAGCGTTCATATTCGATATTTAACGGCGATTTCCTAAAATTTATATCTTAAAATGCGATATTAATAATACTTGCACTAGTATCCATTAATTAAAACAAGTTTTTTGGTTCCAATCATCCATTACACACTCCTAAATACTACCAATAATCGTCAAATGGTGACCATGTCAATAACTTACACTACATATCGGTTCTGAAATTGATTATTGTCCAAAATAGTAAGATTTTTATATTAAATCAGGCTCAATTGGTGGTATGGATACGAATTGAACAATTTTGAACACGGATACATCTTAATTTGTTGCTAGAACAAATAAAATGTCCGATCCATAAAACATGCTTATTGTATCGAGTATATCAAGATATGATTGGTAGCATTATTGTATGCTTTGGAAATCGGAGTATTTAGAAAACCTGTTTAAATTAAAGAAAATATATAGAATTATCCAAATTTTAAAGTTTATGTTGTAAGTCTTAAGAAATCGGAGTTAAATTTCGGGTTTTTAAGAACGTACTGTGTTCAAAATGTCCAAATCCATGCATATAACATTAATTTAGAAATAACAACTCTTTTCAAAAGTTAAAAATTCTATTTCCAATGCATCATTTGGAGGGTTCAATGACCACTAAAGAGAAAAAAAATCATAGAAATGAGAAAAAACTGTTCTACTAATTAATTCCGGAGCCAATCGGACCAAATTTCAAGATTTCGGAACTAAAAGTAGATTTTTTCCAAGTTATTGTGTAAAAAATATTTTATTAAAAAGTAATTATATTAATACAAGTAAAATTTTCATAAATTTTGTTAATATCATTAAACCAAATATATACTGAAATGATCTGTATACTTACTTTTGTGACGTAAATTTTGCACCTTTTTAACTTTAGCTTAAATGAGAACTCAAAGAACCAAAATATGAAGAAAAAAAGTAGTGAATAATAATTATCATAATTGTTTTTAATAAATAAATGTGTTACTTTCTTGTTTTTTTAAAAAATAATATGTTTTTTTTTTTAAATAAAACCAATCTGTACCATTTCTGTATACTTATTTTTGTGATTAACTGTATATGTCCTTCCATGATCTACGTGCTTTCATGTTGGTGGTCACTTCAGATCACTTTGTGAAAGATTGATCTCTGACTGAACATTTAAAACGTTCATTCAGAATATTGAATATTATGATTTTAAACTTTGATGATTTCTAGCCAAATTTAATATAATATTTTTTTATGGAAATTAATCTAATAGAAAGATAATTCTCTTTTTTAAACGTAAAATTTTTTTTTCGAAAATCAACACCTCAAAGACACAGTTTGATACATATAGATTCAAAATAGTAAACAATGTATGTATTTTAACCTTGTTATCTTATTACAAATGATAATGATGTTGATGATGATATTACACAAGTGCTACAGATTCCAATCAGTGCAAAAGTCTAAAAATTAACAAAACAAGATAATTATTTTCACGACATTCTTCTATAAAAAAACCCACTGTTTTCTAGTTAGCAATTGAAAAATAAACTAAACTAAACTAAAATAGAGACTAAATTGACTAAAATACAATACAATACATATGTAAGTAAGTAAGTACGCGATGAAGAAATCATCCGCATTTAAGACAAAACAAATATTGAACATTTTCAAAACCAGATCTTATGCGAATGCGTTTTGAGAGCACCGGCAGCGGCCAACATTCTGTTGTATACGTAACGTAACACACTAGCAGTAGTTGTTATAATTTGTTTGTTTTTCGTATCTGTTGGTTTTTAAGACCATTTTTGACCGATTAAACTAAAAACTTTTCGGACAAAAAAAAAAAAGAAGAAAAAACACATTGACCGTTTAAAGTACAGACGAAGCGTTATTGTAGTTGTTGGATTGTGATTGAGTATGTTTTCATCGTTTTTGTGACTACTATTGTTGTTTTATGAATGTAACATTTTGTTGCATGAAGTTTTGGTGGATGGCAACTTATGGCAGGCAGAGCATGGCTGCTGGCACATTCCATGGTATATAAAAGTCGAGACTTCTTAGAGAATGTATCTCAAACCAAAGTTAGATTTTTGCTAGCAAGCAACAAATTCTTGTAATAAAGAAACGATCCTCTACTTAGATCAAATTTATAAATATTTTTTTATATATATATATATTATATATATTTTGTAATTAAATACAAATACAAAAGACAACACATCAAAATGTTTGCTAAGGTAAGGATTAGAGCCGTTATTAAGTGATAATAACTATTTAAATGTTAATATAACTCATGTGCCGCTTGCAGGTAGTACTATTAGTCAGTGTATCCTTGTCTATGACCATGGCGGCGCCCGGTATTTATGGCGGTTATGGTGGTCATGGCGGTATTGCCTTAGCAGCCGCACCTGCAGTGTCCTATGCTGCCCCAGCTGTTTCCTATGCTGCACCAGCCATCTCTTATGCAGCACCCGCTAAAGTTGTGGCTGCAGCACCCGCCATTGTTGCCGCTCCCAAAGTGGTAGCTGCTGCTCCAGCTATTGTTAAGGCTGTTGAGCCAGAACCTTTCGATCCCAATCCCAAATATAGTTTTTCATATGGTGTATCTGATCATTCTACTGGTGATTCAAAATCGGCCGAAGAACATTTGGAAAATGGTGTCATCCATGGCAGTTACTCACTGACTGAAGCTGATGGTTCTATACGTAAGGTAAGTGAACTAATTAGGGGCAAATCTAAAGGGTTCTTAACGCGTTGACTTCTTCAATTGATCTCATTAAACGTGTGGGCAAATCCGAAGGGTTCTTAACGCGTTCATTACTTCACGTGATCTTATTAAACGTGTGTCCCATGCATTTGAGAAAACTAGGGAGCTGTTGATATTAACACTTTGTCTTCTTCAACTGATATCATCAAACGTAATGCTAGTGTTTCCCAATAATAAGGAATTAGTCCTTGGTCCATCAAATTATAATATTTTTGATCACGTTATCTGATTTCATACCTTCTAAATCATTCATTTTCAATTCATATTTCGGTCAAAAGTGGACTCCGAGAAAAAGTATGTGAAAAAATTATTAAAACTTTTCCCAAAAATCCATAATGGACTTTCATAAAACTAGCGAAAGATCTGAAGGTTTAGCGTCTTTGACTTCTTCAACTGATCCAGTTGATAGTTGATATGAGAAACCAGGGAGTTGTTGATGTTAACACTCTGATATCATCGAAGATCCTGTCGTAATTTTTCAAATATAAGCAGTGACTCCTTAAAAACTTATACACACTTTCCTAGTTGAAACTTATCCTGGGTCCAACATATTATTATTTTTTTGATTACATTATTATCTGTTCGAAATCATACATTTTCAACTATCATTTAGGTCCACGAAAAAAATAAGTGACAAAAGATCAAAAGGTCCAACGTTACAGAATTTCAAAAGCCATTAAACAGTATATAGAAGACTTGAACATTGAAAGAAAATCAGAATCATAAAGAAAACAAAGGTCTAGTAGATCTTTAGGAGAAGTCGAACAACTGTTACGAAAATTAACAAAGACTTTCATTAGAAAAGCAGCTCGCTAAGTTAAATTTTCGGATGTTTTTAGGCGTAGATCTAAAGTTAATGCTCAGTTGAAGTCGTATAAAGTTTAGAAAAATTCCAAATCGTAATTCGGTAAAGAACTTGAAACCAAAAAGAAAAACGACTGGAAAATCTGAGGTCAAATTTTATAAAAAATTCACTTGTTGTGTGATAAATAATGAAACTTTTGTACTGGGGGACTATTCACAACATCCGGGTCAAAGTATAATTCAAGATTAACACCGAATAGTGGTTTAGAAACTTTTAATTGTGGAAATAATTCGGTAACTCTGGACCTATTGATATATCGCAATGAAATTTTAGCTGAGTTGTTTTCGATTTGATGGACAGTTGTAGATGATAGTGGGCGGGATGGGGGCATGGTAAATAGCGTCACAGTATAATTTGGAACACTTTTTTCCCGCTTTAGAAATTTCTCATTTTTTTTTTTTTTTCAAAAAAATGAGAAAACTGGTAACGGTGTTATTTGTTCCGATATCTTTATCTGATCAAATTTTGCATTAATTAAAGTTTAATTAAAATTTCTTAATTCCTTCAGGTCACCTACACTGCCGATAAAATCAATGGTTTCAATGCGGTGGTTGAAAAATCCGGTCAAGCCATCATTGCTAAACCAGTAGCTGTAGCCGCTGCAGTACCCGTTGCCAAAGTAGCCTATGCTGCACCAGCCGTAACCAAGGTAGCTTATGCTGCACCAGCTGTAGCTAAAGTAGCTTATGCTGCTGCTCCAGCCTACTATGGTGGTTATCATCACTAAATAAACTATCAAGCATGGAAACATAACCGCCACCACCATCAATCAACTACCATATATCATTGAGTCATAAAAAAAATCTAGTGACAATTTCGTTAAAAATCAACTCATAAAATGACCACTAAGCTATCGTTATTTGGACTTGTGATCTTGTAAATCTGCTCTTTTATTATAAAAGTATTATTAATTATTTTTTCCAACAATTAATAATACCTAATAATGTTATTAACTTATTGTTTTAGTTTTAATCATATCTATTCATATTCACCACCATATATACTTCGGTTATATACTGACTCACTCAAACGCTCTCAATCTTAAAACTCACTCACTCTCTCTTTCACTCACTCAACTGTCATTCGCTTCTCTTTAAAGAAAATAGTATTTAAAACTTCATATTTTTTGTTAAGTTATAAGACATTGATTGTCTTATGATTTTTGTTTTTGTAATATATATATTTTTATTTTTGTTGTTTATTATTAATTTTTGATTCTTTCTGCTCATTTTGTTATTGTAAATTTATTTTTTTTTAATTTGTTGTAAATAATCCATTATTAATCTTATGCTATTGTCATCTTTTGTGTTGGTGTCAATAGTCAGTTTTTTTTTGTTAAAAAAATAATATTTTATAGAATGTAAGTGACACGAATTTTTCTCGTAGAAGAATCGTGTTAATAACTTTTTAAAAAAAACATATGTAAAAACTATAAAAGAATGTAGAGGAAGAAGAAGAAGAACGAAATGAGAAATTATCGTGTGCATTTACTGAATAAAGAATTCAGTACAAAAATAAAATATGAAAATATGAGTTTTTATTAAATAATTATCATCAGGACTGCATTAGAAATTAAGTGAACTCCTGCCATAAACATAAATGGTTCTTGGTCAAGATCGCATAAAGAGATGAAAGATCATCTACTATCCTTAGAAATTTCTTGATTTAAAAAGCTTAAACTTTTCCATTGCTCAACTTTAATAGTCCAAAGCATTCTCTAACCCAAAAGAACTTGTACTCAAATTGAAGTGTTAATCGGTATTGATCAACTATTAGACCTTTGGAGAAGTTAGCTCTTTAGCCTTTAGAAACGACATTCAACAAAGTTCTAGAGAGGCTGACCACGCATACAAATGTCAATTCTTTGATCAATATTTTCAATAAGTTTTTTGCAGTTTTTAGGCTGTAATCGATTCGATTGGCTCTGTATATATTCTATCTTTAACATAGTCCCACAAAAATAATCAACTGGTATGACTAGCATGATCGGGAAGGTCCCCCTCCAGATGGTTTCCTAACAATTACTTTTGCATTTTCAGAATACCAAATGCGTACATTTAGCTTGTTAAGGTCGGGCAGCTTTAATTCTTGCATCAGTTGAACTTTATAAGGCTTTAAAGCTAAATCGTTTTGCAAAATTCACTATGCTGTTGTTATGGATAATCCCAATTGCTGAGAGCATTGAGGAATTGATAAATTCGGATGTTCTTCAGCACTACAACTCACAGATGCGATGTTTTCCCTCGAACAATCCGGTCTTTACTGGTCCAGAAGTTTTGTGAAGAGTTTTTAATCTGCTCTAAATGGCATAAAGTCTCTCTGACAGATATTTTAATATTCGGGTCCTGTAACAATATTAGCTAAATACTTTCATGAGAGTTGTAATTGATCGCTGCAATTTGAGAACACATGCTAAACAAGAGAGAGAGATAGAAAATTGTTTTATGTTGATCTTGCTGACCTTTCTACTAAACGCATTTATAGATAATATGGGTGTGTTTGCGAAACCATGCATGCCGGCAAGAAGTTGTTGTAACTCTCGTGAGATATAGCACTTGATGAAACTGACTAATTCAAGAGCAATTTTAAGACTATCTCTTATTGCACATCTGCTGTGGCAATTCAAAGCTCTGCACATGTTCAGAGCTTTTCAAATTACAAAGTGATATTGTCATGTGGAATTCTCTACAATTTACACATTTAATATCTCTTTAGAAGATTGAAGTTATGATCAGATTTACATTGAAAGGCCAGAAACGAAAACATAAATATCGTCTACTTAATCAAAACACTATCTTCCAGGTGGAAGTTCGTGATATAACACCAACAAAGGTTAACATACAGACACCACTCGGGAACAATCAGCAAGCAAAATAGCCTGCAAGAGAATCACTTACTGAAACTTGAAATAATGAAAGGGGCCTATGGGGTACCCAACGATAAAAGGAAGAAATCCTCTTCATAATAACTAAATTTGGTTTTAATATAAGTGGACACATGTGATTACGAACACAAATATACTAAATTAGACGAACGGATTCGAACGAATGTACAGCTGGTGGAGTTAACAGTCAAACGATATTAAATCCAAATATCTTGGTTGTTATTCCAGATTCAGCATCTCTTAGGATCACTGATTGACATTTCTAAGAAACTAAATAAAACAAGTAAGAATTTATAGTCGGGCATGGCCGACCATATGATACCCTACACCAGTGGTTATATTACAAATTTTGTTGTGTTGGATAAGGTCAAATGAGGCCCGATCATTACGAAAATCGGCAGTATCATTAAGACTTATATAAAACAAAGTTTTGGAGTGAACATTTAAGATATTTATGAGCTCAAAAGCCCTATTCGGGGGGTACGGTTGGATGGGGGCTATACGAAATAATGGACCGATTGAACCATTTTCAATAGGCTTCGTCCTTAAAGAGTATGTGCCAAATTTCATCTAATTATCTTGAAAATTGCGACCTGTAGAGTGCGCACAAGGTTTACATGGACACACAGACGGACGGACATAGCTAAATCGATTGGTATACTGTAAGGTGGATGTAGGACCAATATTTTTAGGTGTTATAACCGTCAGCACAAATACATAATACCCTTCCCACTATAGTGGTGTAGGGTATAGAAATGTAAATCTAACTATCCCTTGAAGCAAAATCCAGCAGTTCGGTCGGACAGTCCCGAACTACCTATTTAACCTACCACTTAGGGTTACTCCTAGCCACCGTCTGCCCAGGTGACTAGTTATTTTAACATGTACTTGTCCTACCTGAAAGTCAATCGTCACCGCATTGATTACGTAGAGACAGACAAAAAACTTAAGTTTGTGTCGACCCTCTCGCTTACAAAGGGGACACTAAAGTCACGAGTACTTTCACCCTCGTTTATAAATAGTGCATCCGTTACGAAAGACGAATTAGAGCCAACCAGGTGGTTAGACGCCAGTAGAAATCACAGTCTTTTTTGGAAGCATTGACTCTTTGTCGAACTTCTGGTAAGAGATAACTCACATAAGTAAGAGTATTTTTATAGATCTTCGAGGTAATCAGCTTTGAGAGGCTACACGATCAATTCGAAACATCTCGTTATGATATCTCCAATAGTTGCAGAGATGGTGGTTTCTAAAACACTATGTATTGGACAAAATTCAAAAGTTAAACTTTTATCCCCCTCCTGACGACTTAACTACAATCAAATCATAATTATTTAAAACCTCTTAATTACCATTTTAACTATAAAGTATACATTAAGTTCCACAAATTGCATAAAATTATTATTTTACTAAAATCATTTTTTTTTTTTTAATAACCAATTGCAATATTTTGAAATTTATCAATCATATTAAAATCATCTTAATTCAAAACACGTTTAATCGAAAGAAAACAAAAAATCCAAATCCAAAAAAAGTAGTAGCACAAGCAATTAAATAATATTAAACTAACTAGTGCTACTCATATAACGGTGTCAGTAGTAAGCAAACTAATGAGTAATAGTAGCAGCAACATATCATAATAATAGAAAAAATACTAAGCATATAAACAGGCATCAACATGTCAGTTATGTCTGTAAAAAAACAAACTGATGATTAATGTGGTGATAAAAAGACGCTTCATAAATTAAAATGTCTACTAGAAAGACGAATTACAACGATTAAAATAAAACTGACAACTAATGACGTCACTTATGACTTGTTAACGAAACGGTTTTGAAACGGTTATTGTTAAAATATTTTACAAATAAGGAATATTTTTACTTTTAATTTATAGTTAACGAAAGCTTTGTATGCCATTGTAACAAGGTTGCATTTTTTAATGTTTTCTTGTTTTTTCATTTGGCACGTTTTCTATGGTAATCTAAAAATTTTTAATTTATTTATTATTATTATTATTTTTGTTCCAAGTCATGGGTGTAGCGTTCCCGTTTATGGCAAAAAGTGGGACTTGATTATATAATAAACAATTTTGTTTTTACTCAAATATTTTTTTTTTTTAAATTATTGGGTTTATTGGAACTTACAAATTTGGCAAGTCTTTCGTTTTGCATTGCAATCCATATTGGTTTTGGAAGGTATATTTGGGAAATTACAAAAAATTTCATGAATATTGTTTGAGTGACAATTATTTTCTTTAAAAAGCTTGTTAATTTTAACGAAAATCATCAGTCAATTACTTTAATTACAGTGTTAAACACTTAAAGTTTTTTTTTTTTACAAACCAATCAACAAAAATTTTCTATATATAAAAAATGGCTTTCCTTAAGGTGAGTTTTCGAAAGGATTACAAAAAAAAATTAAGAAAAATATTCAAAACAAGTGATGGTCGGTTCAATTTGCCAGAATTTAAAATATTTACAAATATTTTCGAAAAGTGTTTAAATTTTGAATCATAACGTGAAAGTATTAATAATATTGTGATCACAAATTAATCTTAATATTGTCTTCCAAGACGCCGATTGTCTTATGCACTAATCTACTCTGAACATTATCTTTCAAGCTCAAGCTCATATCATGAAGAATCACAAACGATGTGGTCTCTTAAAGATCATTGCTCGACAACTTCAATCTTTGAATATATTATTCTGATCGACTCCCCAGAAGAGAGTATCTTCCAAGTTATTAAACATATTTGTTGGAACCTCATCTAACTTAGATCAAGAAGATCGTCATTGTTTTTGAATATCAAAATCAGAAAAACATTTTACTCCCCAGAAGAGAGTATCTTCCAAGTTATTATCATTGTTGGAACCTCATCAAGAAGATCAAAAAGATTAAGAAGCTATGTGATCTATCATAGAACTTGAGCAATGCTATATTCAAAGATTAAAGAGCAACATTAATCTTTGAATATATTCTTCTGATCATTCATTATTTTCTTCTGATCGTCATTATTTTTGAAACTCTTTATCTCTGAATTGATATAGTTCTCATTTAGTTAAGATTTAAATAACTTGCTGAAGATGATTGATGCTATGATTTCTCGTGGTTGTGAGCTTTGCTAAAGCTTTTTTGGCTTAAGAAACAAGTTCAACATCTTTAGCAGAGCAAAGATATTCTGATCGTCATTGTGTTTGAAAATCAATCAGTTTACACCCCAGAGTTCATAAACTAAGTAATCTATCATAGTTAATGCTCATTA